GAAAAGTTAAATAATGTCTTGTTGCCAGGTAGATTAGGGTGAGGGAATTCAAACAGTGTAATGAATTGAATGAAATTGGCTATGGTAAGACAGTCCTGCAGAGGCTATCCATTTTCCTAGCGTTACGTCACAGAATTCAGGGCTACAGCTTTTGTACAGTCTTTAACTTTGAATGACCTTCTGAAATGGGAATACTTGGGAGCCTCTGTTTTATCTCATCAGTAAATTCATACATTGGACACAAGCTTTCAGTTTTGTTGTGGGTTTTGTTTGTTATTGTGTTTTTTGTAAGAAAGGAATAAGTACTGCAAGTACTTTTTTTTCACAGGCAACTCATTCAAAGCCCAGGGATTTAAAGACTAGGAGATACCTACTGAGTTATTAGCCATCTGGGATGGCAAGACACTCCACATTTAAATGGCAAACTGCAGAAAGAGCAAAAGGATCGCACAGCCCCACCAATGAGATAATGATAGTTGAATATATTTGAATTCCCATGTTTTCCTTGAAATATCTCATTTCTGCTCAGGGCAGAGTGATGAGGCCTCAGGGCAGACTGCCATTTTTGAAGAGTAGCAGAATGGGAACAGGTCTAGGTAGGCTTGTTCATAGCAGTAGAAAACTTTGTGTGCTTTTGGATCAAAACTAAACAATGCTGAAGTCTACCCCCACTGACATATTGCTTCACCTTCCTATAAGAATTTGGGAGATCTGAAAGACTACTGTGTAATGTCAAAATGGTGTACCTCACCAATATTTTGCTTTAGAAAAGTGGCATGTTTATATTGTTAATGTTGCTGTAGTTCCTAGACTGAGGGAAAGCCAGGTTGGCTTTTGTCCCACCCTCATCACTGCCATTAGACTAAGGAAACTCAGTTCATCATATATATAAGGGGGTTCATTAAACAAATGGGAAAGCTACACAATGTTTATCTTCAGATGCTCCCTGCTAGCAGCATGGTTAGTTTCAGGGGTTTTATAGGCCTGTTTCCATAAACAGTTTCCCTAAGTATTCACTTCCCCTTAGTTCATCCTAATGCTCCGTTGTTTTACTTGAATTGTCCATTGCCACATGCCAACTGGTGAAGGATATACACCAAAGTTAAAAAAACATGTTATGTCTTCTCCTATCTACATCATCATAACTTGCACTCCTAAACCAGAAAAGACAGACATACTGTTGTCTCCTTTTGACATTGCCTCCTGTTGGACATGTTCTTTTGAGGTTGGAGTGGGACTTTACTTCTCTGTAACATTCCACATTTGATTAGTTTTCATTAAGGCACAAATCTAGCAAAGCATAAAAACAAATGTGCCAGCCAGTAACCCTGTCTTCCCTACTCAAGGAGCACGCAAAAGAAGTTTGTATAAAATCCTCCTGACTTCATACCTGTCTCTTCTTTACAAATTCTCCAACACTGTCTGTTGATACGTTTTATAATTATTACTCTTTAATTTCTTCTAATTTTTCTCCTTTGAAAAACAGTACAGTTCAGAATGTCATTATGGAATTAGAAGATGAGAATCAGTAAGTTACAACTCAGTATCTACCTGCATGTACAACAAATGTTTTCCCTTCCCCAAGCCTTGCCCTATAGTTTTGCTGCACTTACTGGTCTGCCAGGCTGACAAGCAATGATTCTCTTTCAATACAGGCACTTCTGTCAGAGACATGACAAAGTCAGAAAATGCCGCAAACCTCAAATATTGTTTTGAATGAAGATACAGACAGGCCTAACTGCTTAGAAGCATGGCTCAGCCTACTTAGAGGAAGGGAAGGGAGCTATATCCAAATTCCCCTACGTTTAAACTTGCTAGAATCCAGAGTCTGGATGCCGATTCACCCTTAGCTGATGTTCAGCAACTCACCCCTCTCTTTCCTAAGGGATTTGAGTGCTCAGAAAAAGGCTGTCATTTGGGGGATTTCGATCATCTCCCCATACCATATCATAGCTGTAGCAAATGAAGATGGAAACCACTTCTCGAGAGGGACATTCATGAAACAAGCTTCAGTTGGTTAAGCTAGCTAAGCAACATCTATGCTAAGTCATTTTCCATTGTAACAGGATAGCACCAAGAGGGCAAAACACATATTTCATCTGAAGTAGCCGCCCCCACAGCACTGTCAGACAAGCTTGCCCTCCCAAAGGAGGGAGGGTAGCAGATTAGAAAGCAAATAAGGAGAAAATCCAGAATGACTCAAGTGGAAACTGAGCAAGATAGGGTGGGAAGAGGTTTTGTTCAGATACTTGCCTCTTGCTTTCTTGATAATGTCACTAGTGAAGAAACTGCTCTTATTAGGTACCAGGTATCCTTTCAGAGCTGACTTGACTGACCGATTCTATTCAGTCTTCCTCTGTTCTGCCATGAATTACTTATATCATCTCCTTCACAGCCAGAGTTTCCACAGAATGTTTTCTGCTGATTTCTTGGAAATTTTCTTCATTGTTTATAAACTATGACAGATACAACTCCAATTACTGTCAACAATAAGATGCCAATATAGATCCAAACATATGTGACTGAGTAGTACAGAGGAAGTGTTCTCCTATTTCACGCCCTTTGCTACCAGGACTGCTGAGCTTTCTTCTGGTCCTAACATGGTATTTTTTTGTTTGCTTGTTTTCTGTAAACTCTTTCCATGGAGGCCCTACACCACCACAGGAACTTGACTGACCTCCTTCAAAAACTATTAGGAATGTTCCTTTAATAAGCCAGATGGGAAGTTAATTATAAGGGCCATAAGGTGTCAGAGGAAACACAGGGGAATTTATTTTCTTCTTACTCACAGAGGTGGAAATCAGAAGTCACATCTAAGGTTTGCTAAAGAATAGTCAAACTGTTGGTCTCAGCATCATTCCCAACTCCTGCCAGCTCCCTACTAAACATGGACTAGATTAACCAGTGTAAGACAATGGTGCAACAGTGTTTGCACTCAAAGCTGAACCACTTTAAGTGAACTGATGCAGCATTTAGACAGATAAACCTTTGGTGAGTGAAAAAGCTTCTTTCTCCCTTTGCTTTCAATCAGACCTACCAATCCGTTAGCTTAGTCTGAGGCACAAGCACAGGTAGACCTGATTAGACCATGAACAACCCAAATAGCACCCAGAACCACCCAAATATGAGCCGTTATGATTTTGGATTTGGTCATTGCACATCCACCACATGTTGCGGACATTTTTAACTATACCACTGGCTCAGGTATGTCTAACAGCATAGTCAAAGTAACAAGGACATCAACACAGACTGCAAAACACACCCAAGGAGTCTGGGAAATAATTGTGTGGCTAGTCTACCTTGAGCTACGTGCAGCCTTGGCTAGCTGGCTTCAAAGGGTTTGGGAACATCTACAGAAGGACTTGCCTCACTGTGAGTTCAGATCAGCCATACCCTCCATATGAGAAAAAAGAGGGCAAGCTCTGCAATTGTTATAAATTTTTTGTATAGAATACGGGAGTGATGTTAGTCTGGAAGAAGACTCTGCTTGTCTACAGGCTAATCCCAAGAGAGCAACGTGATTTACTCAGACGAACACACCCTGCTGCAGCTTCGCTGAAGTCAGTGGGTACCCGCAGCAGTACAAGGGAGACCAGTCCTCTCAACCAGCAGGCAAGCCTGCAGCCTACACAAACGACAAACCCTGTTTCTTGCTGTTGAATTTTAAGATTTAGAATTTAAAAGCAATGATTTTGAAATTAATTTGGGCACTGAAATCCCTTATGTTTCCTCTAGAAAGTCTGGTCTGCTGGTTGTTTAGTTTGTTAAATAACCCTTCACCTGGGGACAGACCAGCCTTTTGTCAGATCTTTTTTCTTTGTGACTTTTCTCAGGACTTACTACCATTTAAAATAGGGAAAATTGAACAAACTGAAAACCACCTGTTTATAATTTTTCTTTTTGTTTTCCCTCCAGACCATCTAAAAAAAAAAAAACCCTACAGCACTGTTTTGACAGTTTTTGCAAGGTCTTTTTGCTTATAAAAAAATGGAAGAAAGCAAAAGGTACTGGTGTTATATTTCCCTTCTGCTCTACTAACAGAGAAACAAAAATTAATTTCATTCCAATTGGTTTCAAGTCCCACAAATTGTCCCTTTTTTTGGTCAGAAATATGAACTATCTCAGGCAGCTTCCAAACAGATTTCTTTTGTTACTTCCCACTAGACATACTATTTTTCAATCAGCTACAATTAAAATCAACAGGAAGATTCCCACTGATACAAAAGGGAGTTGGGTCAGGCAGAATCACAACAATTTCAACTAGATTTTTGTGAAAAGGATATTCTCCCTTCTGGCAAAACAAACAAATAAAAGAAAGCATTTTTCAGCTTTTATAGGTAAAACAGAGGACACTACCATCCACAGCGTGATATGCTAAAAAATGGAAAGTTTTGCTATCATTCCACTTGGAAAAATCATTGCTAGAAAATCACAAAAAATTAGGACTCTTCTATGTCCAGCGGTAGAAAGATTTCAGAATTTTTACTGCCAACATCCAAAATATGGCCAAGGATAGGAGTGCTACTGGTTTTTACCTGGAGATGGTGGCATTTTGGAATGAACATTCACCACATCCAAAAAAATTCTATGCCTGTAAATACTGAACAAAATGCCCCCATCCTTTCCTTAAACGAATAATTTCATACAGTTATCCAGATGTAATAAGAACTTCAGAAACAAGTGTGGTTTTTTTCCAGATATAAGGTCCCAATCTTAAATATAATTCCATCCAGCCAGACTCCTATGTTCACACAGGGCATCACTGGCTTCAGCAGAGCTCCACACAGGTTCAGGTTCTGCTTGCATGGAGTAATTACCAGATTGAGACCTATGGCAAGACTTGAGAAAAAAATATTTTTAAAACCTCTACATTGTTCAATATACAATAGACGTAATTTTCTAAATGAGTTTGGAGTCCTTATTACAGGCCTCTAAAAATTGTTGTTAGGGTTATACATTAAAAATACTAAAGTAATAAAAAAAGTATTTTTTTTTCTGTTTGTTTGTTTGTTTCCTTCTATGGTACCATTAAGCTATAAATAATTTTAGGATAAAATGCCTAGGTATAAATGAAACTGTTAACTGATCGTGTTTGCTGATGTCCTTTTCTCACATTGCCCAAGTTGGCTCCATTAATCCAGCATCTTCTCTTGTTTCTTGCCTTCCTTTTTCTTCTTCTTGGATTCTGTCAAGACAACAATAACAATAAAAAATTAGCATCTAGCAGTCACTGCAAAAAACTTCATCCCATATGCCTGAAAGTTCCCCTTGTTTTCTCTGTGCCCGCAAGAACTAATTTTGTTTCCTCATTTTGGACAAGGAAAGGGAAAACAGAAGGAAAAGCAGCAAAAAGAGAAGCGGTCGAGGCGCTAGAGAAGATGGAAAGGAGGGGGTGCATGTCCAGTTCAGAGCCCTTCCTATCTGAACAGCTGACCCTGTTTGGCATGCAAAGCATTGTCTCAGGAACTTGCTTTGAAAATAAGAAAACAGCAGGCAGCTCCTGGAGAAACCGGGTCATGGCTCAGTGGAGAGCTGGAAGAAAGCTTTGCACACACTACCCACACACACACCCCTCCCTTGCTTCCTTTCTGTTTCATTGTTAGTCTTTGGCTTTCTCTGAATATGAGAGCAACTCCAGAGCGTGGTGAGAAAGCTCACTTGTTTCTTCAGCTTCTCCATTGCCAACCCTTCCCCTTTTGTATGGGACAAACACCTATGTACAGTTGAGAGGCAATTGAAGTTTGGCCTGGAGTCATTAGAGCACGGCCTGTCCAGCCAGCCGGTACTGATACGACAGGGAAGGGACTAGGGAGCATCTGCTTCTCTGATTAATTTGCAGTAAATAGGAGAACGATGCGAAGGTAACAGTTTATACATTATATTACCATCTGTGGTAACTTTCAGTGTGCTATAGGGTAGTGTGGTGTTCTACAGGCAGAGGAAATTCAGAGGAGACTAGAAAATGAATATGAATTAAGGGGATTAGGTACTCTTGTATCACACGTCACCTTGTAATGGGGGAAATAACAACTCTCACTGGGAACGTGACTAAATCCTCGTGGATACCACCACAAAAGACAGTACTAGAGAGAGACGGAAACTGAGTTTCTGTGAAGCATCTTTCCTGGAACCAAAACAGCAAGCAAGTAGACCCATGTTTGCCTTAACCCAGATTTCACTTTCTTCCTTTGAATCCTACCTTTGTTTCTTCCTTCTCAAAAAACACCACCCCCCACAAAAACCCAAACAAAACCCATGAAAACCAAACAAACCAACAAAAACCATCTCAGGTTAAAGAACAAATATCACCGTGAATGAGAAGACAAGCACTTGGCCCTTAAGGTGGTACTCTTCTTTGTGAATACGATTCTTTTCTCTCTGACCAGTTCGCATAACATTGACAGTCAAGCAATCATCAGCTCTGGTAAAACCAGCTTACTTGCATTAAAGCCAAGGGAACTGCACTCACATCTTTCAGCTATGGATAGGGCCAGGGTACCTTCAGCAGAAGGGAGACTTAGGTTATCACATTTCTCTGACAGTTGTTTTTCCTGTTTGTTAGTGTTTCAAAACAACATCTTTTTTCTTCATCTTTTTCAACAAGACAAAATTTGTTTCAAATAATCCTTTAGTCAAAACAAGATAAAATGCCTATTTCATGTTTAGTCACATAATCTGCTGTAAAATCTCTTTCCCTTAAAAACACTGCTTAACATTTAAAGGGATGATAATCATTTGAAACAAGAAATAATTTGTTTTCATTTGAAAATGTACTATTATTTTTTTCCCCTGCCTTTCTATGTGTGTCTGTTTGTGTGTGCATGTGTGTATGCACGCCCAGAGTCTGGAGCCATTCACAGAATCTGGCGCTATCTTACAGCCCGTTGGTCCAAAATGTCATTTTTCATTAAGTTAATATCTAATTTGCTTTCAGGTAAAGCTTTTTTCCCCCTACAAATTTTCTGTCTCCCCTCCTATCCTCTTTCACCCACATCCTCCACTTCCTCTAATTTTCCCTCTGTATCACTGACCCTCCTGGACTCTGTATTGATTGCACTTTCTCTCACTCTCTCTCTTCTTCCCCAGTACTGCTTTCTCTGAAAGAAACAGCAGCATTTTATCAATCAGACCAGCACTTGAATCTGTAAAATCTATTTAGACCCAGCACAAGCAGAAAGGTACTCTGCAGACTTCAACTAAATTTACTAGAAGCAAAGGAGACATATGAATGTGGGCAGACTACTAAAAGGACTCTACTTCATGGTACAGGTGAAGTCATCACCAAGAGAACGTTTCGGTCTGGAGTCGTGTGGTCACACCAGGTCCCCATCCTCACTTGACTTGAGGTACCAGACAACCTACTGTTTATTCATTTGCACTTGGCCCCTCTGGGTCTCTATCTGCTCCTGTTAGCAAAAGCTCAATTCCTCCCTATTGTCTACCTTGTGATAATCTGCATATCACCCAAACTCCCAAACCCGTCTACCTACCAAGACAAGTGATTCTGCTTTGTTCTCAGCACAGTAAAACCCTCATGTGTGGGATGTATCTCCTCTCATATTAAAGGTACTCACACCACCACAGCTTGATCTTTCGGACAGGTAAGATGTATTGATGCAAAGCACATTTGCTTCATGAAATAACATGCACCCCCAGAGCTGTGGTAATATAAGAGAAAAAGAAAACTGCTCAAATATTTCCCATATTTGCTGTTCATACTTTCATGCACAAGTCTGTTCACAGCTATCCTCCACCTGCTTTGACTATGGTCAGGCTACAGACTACGGTATGTCCATGGCTAACAAAGTATAAAGTTGCTTTAAGATGTACTTTGTTCATGTTTTCTTATTGCTCGACATACTCTTTGCATCTGTGTCATTCAGGCTTTTGTTGTCCTCATCTCTGCTCACCCTACACTACTATTTCAACTTTTATGACATACTATCAGGTCAGCTCACACAACCACACTGGGATACATGTCACCCTGATCACTTGGTCTGCCAATGCTTCCCTTCCCCGAGTAAATAGTCCTCAATTTTTGTGTCTGGTTTACAGCGCATACTTTCCTCCTTCCCTCTTATCCCATGTGAGAGGCTGCCTAGCAGTGCTCTGGATCAGATGGAGGCCAGGATCTTGGACCAGGGCACACGCAAAGAGCAAATTCAGAATACTTGGCAGAGTGCAGCAACCAAGCACTGCACACCCATCCATCCTGCTCTCCCCTGGAACCCAGAGCACTTCTAGCAAGATAAAAACACCCACGTAGTGCTGTACCAATACCCCCTGCAAGACTGAAGTGTGTCGATGTACACACACTGGATTACCTAATCATACATCACCTGAATAACCCTATCAATAGTTGTATGCCTAAGAATTATGCACAGGATTAAAAGGTGTAGTGGTCATGGATTAGCACTGGACCCTCTTCTGTGGGTCCATGATGACTGGTAACAAAAATTCCAGCGAGAATCTTACCGAGTAAACAAATCGCTTTGATAAGCAGAACTTTCTTTATGCAATTTGGAATGGCAGCAGCCCTCTTTAAATAGTCATCTTTATACTGGAGCCTCATTCTTACTATGCAAGCAGCGAAGGAAAGTAATTATGTTGAACAGGAGCCACACACCATTTGAAGCCACTCTTAATGTGTAAGGCACAAAAGGGAGGTAATTACATTTTAACGGAAGCCAAGCTTTGTAAGCCGAGATTTGCAGGCATTTATTTTCATTTGTTGAAAAGAAGGTAACGATTCACTCATGGCACTGCTGAACTCCTGCATATAAAAGTCAAGCAGTGTCCCCAAAAGCAATATAAATCATTTGAAATAGCAAAAGCTGTGCTGATGGAAGGTTAGACTGAAGAATTTCAATACCAGGTCTTCAGGACACAGTTTTCCCAGGAACCAGCACTCAGTCCCACTGAGTATAGAGGAAGGCAGTTTTCTAAAGGGCTCTCTACCTCTTATTGGGGCAAATTTTCCAAAGCACCTGGTTGCTGTGGTGGGGCAGGGCAATGGTGCCATTGGGTGCAAGGAACTTCTGAATTTGGGGGTTGAAATGCTAAGACAAGTGGAAGGGAGCTGTCTTGACTTTGATGAAGCCAAGGATTTTATCCCTTGGTGAAAAAAAATCTTACCCTAAAGAGGTTCACCCTGCTCTCTAGGAAGAGAAACTGTACTATCTTGTGATTTCCACGACTGCAGAAGCAAATCCCTTGATTTCTGACATACTCTTCAAATATAGTATTTCTTCTGCTTCTAGAAAAAGAGAACCTTTCATGGCCATCTAATTCCTTTTCCTCCTATTTTCCTGCACTATATACAGCATTCATGTATTCCAAATGGTTTAGAAGGAAAAACTATATTACAATAGCAACTGAGTTCCAAAATTAATTCTTCTGAAAAGCCTCTTTGAGCAACACAGTTCTACTGGATAGAAAAAAAAAAAAAAAAGCAATAATCCACTAGCTAAAGAGCAGTAGAAGGCAAGACTCCAATGAATCTATGACCTTGATGTGACTTTTACTTCATTAATGTATTACAATTGATTATACCCCCTATACTTCAGGCTCTTTGCTGTTTAATGACTTTCTCTAGCTGTCTGTAAGCGTTTCTCAATTTCTTCATTCTTCCAGTCGGTCCTATCCAGCAGGTTTTGTTGTGCTTCTCACTTTGCTAAATTTCCATTTTGGATAGACCTGGATTCGTTCCCAGTTGAACACAAGATGGACCCAATTCAAACCTAAAGGGTGGAGCTACCCCGTATAACCCAGGAAGGCATGCCGCAATGTGTGTTATGAATGGGGAACAGCTAGATTTATGCCTGTAACAAACACTAACATATCGGACAAAGAAATGGGCCAAAGGGCCACTCATGGAAAAAGTTTCACTCATTTTCTTTCTCATTGGAATTGCAAGAAGAAATAAATGCAGGGAAAAATTAATCCTATTTATTCTAAAACTAGCTGCAAAGCTCTGAAACAATCTTAAACAGTCAGAAGCCGTTGCTTGAACCTGACATACAGATCTAAGATGTTAGAAATGTTTCCTTTAACATCCTTACTTAAACTAGTACCGAATTACAGGGAGTTTTTTTTAAAGAGGTTATTTTTTGAAACCGAGGATTTTCATCAGAAAGGTTTTGTTTTGGTGATTTTCTTCATTCAAATATTCGGGAGAAAAAGTTT